TGTGGAGCTCTTCTCTCCCAATATTATTATTAATTGTATTACAGTAGCACCTAGAGGCCCCAACAGGGAACCTGACCTCCTTCATACACATAGCTAGAGACAGTTCCTGCCCTGGAGAGCTTACAGTCTAAATAAACAAGTGAAATACAGGTGGGAGAAAGGAAGGATTATTATCACCATTTTACACACGAGGCACAGACAGATTAAATAACTTGATCAAGGTCACAGAAGAAATCTGTGGAAGAACCAGGGATTGAACCCAGCTCTTCTGAGTCCCAATCAACTGACTTAACCAGGAGTACCTTTGTCTTGGGCAAAAACTTAGTCAGGGGCTTGCAAAGAGACTACTTCTATGTACAGTACACGGCAATGAAATACCACCGAAGGGATCATTTAGGGGCCTAATCCTGCAAGGTGCTGAGTGCCACCTGCAAGGTGATGAGCATCCATGGCTCCTAGTGGAGATGCTCAGCACTTTGCAGTGTTGGGCTGTAGAGCGCTTCATTATTTATTTCTTAAGGGCTAATGACAGTGAACCAGACCGTGCCATGCTGAGGTATGGATGTGCAAGGTGGGGTGGGCACACGTAGTCTTCCCCCCTCCTTGCCCGCGTCAGGCACAGTTGCAATCGCTGTGGTCACCAGAGCACAGGAATTGTTCCATGCTAGCTGCTAGGGTATGTTGGTAAAGCCCCTGGGGAAGACGCAACTATGCTGATACAGAAAAGTGCTTCTATGTCATTCGGGGACATGGTCCAGCTGTGCCGGTAGAATTCCTCCTGTCAGTTTATGCTGCATCTCCATCAGGGGGGTCTGCTAGCATAGTTATATCAGTCTAGCTGTACCCCCAAAGCATTTGTAGCATAGGTAAGCCCCCCACTCACCCCTCTGCACCTGCTAGTACAGCTGGCCAGCCATGGCAAGGAATGCATACTCCATCACCCTCAGGGGTGGAATAGTGGGCATGCTCCCTGGGTACATGGGAGGCGGGGGTCTGGAGTATATGGTGCCTTCCAGAGTTCACAAACACCCTCAAAGCTGGGTTGTGCCTTAATGGCATAGTCTGACCCTATGTGTGAGAGCTTTGCATGAGATGAAGAGAGGGGGCATTCATAATGTGGATTAGAAGAAATGTTTACCTCCCCACCCCTGACACACACCCACACCAGTTTAAAATTCATGTGAGTTTGAAGTAGGCTGAAACATGAGTCAGTCAGAATTAGTATTACGAAAGGAAGGTTTTGTCTTATTAATGAGTGGATTTCCCACAAAGGAAATTACCATCTTGGCCTGGTCTGGAAGCTGATGTAATGCCAAGTGCTAATTGCATCTTGAACTGCCAAAGCCTAGTGGCATTGGCTGCACAGTCTCCAGTTACAGAATGAAAGAGAGATACTCTGGGGCTATGTAACTAGATTCCTCCTGACAAGAAGGAAAGCCAGCTGTATGCCAAGGCCTTGCCTACGCTGGGTATTTTGCACCAGTTGGTAGACCTGCTGTGCTGATGTAAAAAGTGACTTGGACAAGTGTGGTTACCTAAAGGCCAGAAAGAGCAAAAGGATGTTATCACTTAAACTTAGGGCCAGTCTAGTGATGCTTTCTGTAATATTTGTTAATCAGCGGTACTTTTTTGTTTTTTTTTTTTTTAAATCTCTGTCTTTCTTTAAAAATCACCAGGAAAATAATTTGTTGCTTATGGCAACTTGACCTCACTGCTGCGAACTGGTAGCTGAGGCAGTTACTGATGGGGGCCTTGGAGAGAGAAACTGAACTCTGACTGCTGGGGAAGCAAAGCAAGGTGTAGGTAGTGGCTCAGCTAGAAGATCTCTGGCACAGAAGTTGCTCTTGTTTCTCTCCCATAACAGTGCCACTGGAGGACTGGCAAGGAACATTCTGGCCAGAGGGAGACCTAACTGACCTAAAAGTTACTAGGAAGTGCAGAGAATACACCATATTGTCCAAATGGAAATCTAAACAGCATGAGATGAAGGTATTAGCACAACAATACTCTTCAGTTTGGGTGACTGTCAAAAAGCAACCCATTTAAAGGCGGTATTTAGGACCAGAACTCTTTGATTTAGGGGCTGTAGGCCCCATAATCCCAGTTCTGTCCCCTGTGATGCATTACAGTAAAAATGGGAGGGAAAACTAAAAGCAGAACAAACAGAGAAGGGAGAACGGCTGAATATAGTGAAAGAACTGAAAAACAGATACTGAAGTGGAGAGGAGAATACAGATACATGAGGGAGGACACGGAAAACTCCGCTGAGGAAAGAAGGGAAAGAGATACGAGAAGGGCACACAGACCTGGGAAAATTCACGGTAAGAGGAGGAGGAAATTAGAAAGGAGAAATTTGACTAGAAAAGCTATCCCCAGCAGCAGACAGGTGGACAAGGTAAGTAGCACATAACTACAAAGTGCTGCCTAGATAACAGCTCTTTGGCTGAAAATATAAGATTTTATTGTGCAAGAAATGATAGTTTTGCACTTAACTTGTGATCTGAACCCCACAATGACACAGGATGGGATTTTTATCTGGATGTTAAAACCTAGAAAGCATTAGATATATGTCAGGCTTCTGGTTTAAACTGATTTTTCCTAGTAAGAGCGAAGCTAAAATGCTGATTAGAACTCACCAGTAAATATTTGTTCAAAATGAAACCCTCTTTATTTTATACTACATCCATTCCCCAGAGCCGCTGAGTTCCCCACATTGCTTCCAGTCAAGCCTTGCGCCACCTGGGCTACAGAACTGATTAGCCAGGCATGCAGCCCGGAATTGGATGAGGCTGGTTACTGAGAGCAGAAAAAGCAAATATGTACAGGGTGGAGGTAAAGGGTGTGTGTGCGGAGGAAGGGCTGAATTGCCTTCTCCAGCTCAGCAATTATTTGCCAGAAGATATTGCCAGCATAGTTTGGGGGCAAATGTTGAAAACCAGATGCTAACCAAGGGCCAGTTCTGCCACTCTTACTCATATAGATGGAGCAATACTTAATTGTGGCCTATACTGCCAGTTTGCCATCTGCTCTGGGAAGAGGCAGCATGTGGTTGTGCTGCCTCAGGAGCAGACCTGGCAAGGAACTGAGATTCTGAGTGTCACGACAATTCCCTTTGTCTCCCCTGTAGCCTAATTTGACCTGAGTAACTTAACACAAGTAAGACCTCATGTCTCAAGTGGCATGACTGGGAAGGTGAATGGAAGAATCAGTTGTAAATAAGGGCATAACAAGCATTAGGCAGGAGTCAGTCTAGCTAAGATAAGCAGGTGATGGAGACAATGGACAAGACAAGTCTGGAATGTAGAGCTCAGGTTATACATGAACTGTACATGGACAGATCATGCTGTACAGGGACTGGTTCCTGAAAAGTAACCAGGCTAATCATGAAGTGCGTGTTGCAATGTATAGGCAGGCAGTAGAGATGTATATAAGGCAAAGGTTTGCTGTGTAACTTTGGATTTGTGGTGTGCCCTGCGTCCACCCCTGGTTCTGAACATGGCCAGCTATGGCATCGTGTTGCTGTCAAATAGTGTTGCTGTCACCTGACTGACAAATTCCAGAGTTGAACTGAGTTTTTGGGAAGTGAGTGGAAGAGGGGCTCAGTGGATCCTAACATCCCCTTATCCCAGGGGAAGGAGGCCACTTCTGGACTATACCAAGAGCACAATGCTCCTCCCGCCACCACAGCTCCATTGTGCTAGTCAGCATGTTGTGGGGAAGCACGTGGAGCCAAGACTCCACCCATTATATGCCCATTTGCATGGAAGGGGGAGGAGTGGCCCCCCACAGAGGCTGGTCTTCCCCCATTCTGGGGCCCACCATGTCATAGCCCACACAGAAGAGTAAAGGAGTGCCTTATGCCTCCAACACCTGCACAAGTGTGGGCAAGGACCAATCTTACCCTACGTGTGTAGCCCCACAGACATCGGATGGGCTATTTGTGCAGTAAGATACTATCCAGCATGGGTAAGGGGGACAGAATCTGGCCCTATATGGTCGACCAACATACACTAGTCACACCATCCAATATGAAAACACTTCTAAACTACATCTTGGACAGCAATGGATTTTACATAGCATATTTCCATATTTAAGAGCAGGATCAAGCTCCTCTTAGTTATCAGCTGGTGGGAGGAGGGCAGTGCTGGGACTGTCTGAAAGGAGCACACAGAACATGAAGGGGAAACATCTTAAATGCTGGAGCTATATTAGCTAAGCCAGGAGATCAGGCTGTGTTTCATTTTGTTTCTGATTTATAGGTCAGGAAGTTGAGATAAAGTTTGGTCATCAGCTATAAAGGGAATTTATATAGGGCCTGATCCCATTGGGAGCCTTTCCATTGACTTCAGTGGGCTGTCATTAGCTAGCAAGATACAGTACAGCCTGTATTAAAACAGAGCAGGTAATGCAGCTTGAAAGGAAGGTGAAAGTAATCCATTGATTTCTATTAATTTTGGGTAACCACCTAATTTTCTAGGGCAGTGGTTCTCAACCAGGGGTACACGTACCCCTGGGGGGTACGCAGAAGTCTTCCAGAGGGCACATCAACTCATCTAGATACTTGCCTAGTTTTACAACAGGCTACATAAAAAGCACTAATGAAGTCAGTACAAACTAAAATTTCATACGGACAATGACTTGTTTATACTGCTCTATATACTATACGCTGAAATGTAAATACAATATTTATATTCCAGTTGGTTTATTTTATAAGTATATGGTAAAAATGAGAAAGTAAGCAATATTTCAGTAACAGTGTGCTGTGATACTTTTATATTTTTATGTCTGATTTTTGTAAGCAAGTAGTTTTTAAGCGAGGTGAAACTTGGGGGTACGCAAGACAAATCACACTCCTGAAAGGGGTACAGTAGTCTGGAAAGGTTGAGAGCCACTGCTGATCCTGAATGGCACTGAGCATCCTCCACTTTCATTGAAGCCCCCTGGAAGGGGAGAGTATTCAGCATCTTACAGGATTCCTCTAATGGAAGAGCCAAGCGAATTCATGACAGTTTCTTGGGAAACAAATGAAAAGACTCTCTTGACAAGAGAGCTTTGGCACAGCTGATCATGCTATTAAATATAAACCAGCCCCATGGAATAAAGAGTTTCTTAAACAATTAGCTAAAGTGAAGTAGTCAGAGTATTGGAAGGGGCTATGCAGATTATATCATTGTATAAATTATTGAGCTGGTGTGGGGGAAAAGAAAGATATAACTTTCTCTCTCATGTCCTGAGGGTGGGGGCGCTGAAAGTTTATACCTCTCATCTGAAAGTTATACCCATTGCTTTCTCTGCTTAGCTAATTGAATTTACAATATTCAGTAGCTAGATGGTGAATGTGGTTTAGAGAGATACATGCTGAATTATATATTCGACTGTGAATGTTCCATAGTTTTCAGTACCCTTCATTTGTGGATGCAGCAGCTCTTAACTTTTGCTGTTTATTTAATAGTCTTATTCAGGTGTTTTTATTTATTTTGATTAATAAAGATTTCTGAGCAATGATGTAGGTATTAGTGATCACAGGAAGATACAAGCCTGAATGGCCCTGGCTGCTTGAGAAACAACCTCTATCCTTCTGCACCATCTCAACAGCGGTGAGTAAATGGAATGATCCCCCTCACAGTACCCACATTTATGACTAAGGGCTATATAACCATGGGTAACGACATCACCAGGCTGCCTCCCAGTAGAACCTGTGGGGGTTAGCCACCCCAAAAGGGAGAGCAAGTGGATAGTGCCATGGAGTGGAGCACATGCTGCATTCCATGCATAGGTATAGTACATGGTGAGAGCCCTCTACATAGTAGGTGCCTCCTAGAATCCCTGCTGGGATGGGGTACCTCTGTGAGACACCCCTCCCCCATTGTGGGTCTTTGTATAATAGGCACAACTGAGCCCCATATGTTTACGCTGATTTTTCAGGTAGGTACAATCAAAAAAGGATGGGGAGCACCTTGCCCTGATGGCAAAGGAGACATGCAGATGAGAAATGACGTCTATCTATCAAGATACTTATGTGGTTCCAATCATTGTAGTATATGAGTGCCTCACACCGATTTAAAATAGAATTGGCAGTAACAATCTCTCTCTGTTTCTTCCTAGGCTGTAGGAGAAATAGTTGGATTTATACATAGCATTTCTGTTTGCTTGCTTGTTTACATTTGTGTGCCAGAGAAAGAGAAAGAGAGAGAAAGAGAAACTAAGTGAATGAAATGAGTTTTGTACTTAGTTCCGAAGGTGGTGGAGGCCTGTGGTGAATTTTCTCTCGGGGGCAGGGGGTGAGCTGAATAATGCAGGTCTTACTCCTGTACAAGCTCTGTCTTCCACACTCACAAGCCTTTCCCTTCCCCTCGGTAGGCAGGAGTGTCATGGTTCCACTGGAACGTTGCTGTCATGGGAGGTCCTGGTCAAAGAGGGCGAGGTAATTCTTAGGTAGCTAGAGCCAATCCTATGGAGGGCTTTGATTATCAGGACAGAGGCTCTGAACTGGGCTCTGTACTCATTGGGGAGCCAGACCAGAGAGAGATGCTCAGTGATGATGCATAATCTGTTTTGCCAAGTAGATAAACTGTTGCATTTGGTATCATTTGAAGCTTTTCAGTGTGTTTTGCTTCATTTATCAGTATGGTGAGAGAGACAGGAAAAGAATGTAGCACACGGAGAGAATACTCACTGGGTATTGGGGTGAATGGGAATAGAATTAGGGTTACCATTCGTCCGGATTCCCGCGGACATGTCCGGCTTTTCTCAGTTAAAAATAGCATCTGGGGGTAATTTGTAAATGTCTGGACTTCCCCCCATGCAGAGTGCACGTGGCTGACAGAGCAGCCGGCCGGATGGTGCCACTTGCATGGGGCTCCGGCAGCCAGAGAGAGCCCCTCCTCCACTTCCCCCTCCTCTCCCCTGCAGCTGAGATCACTCCCCTCCTCTCTCTCCCTCGCTCCCCCTCCCTGCATTCGCAGCCAGCCGGCCATTTGCAACGGGCCTCTGGAGCTCCTCGCCATGCCCAGCGTGCCGCTCCGCAGCACTCTGCGAGGGCAGAAACTGGGCTATGCGCTCCGTGGGGGAGAGGGGCAGCGTGTCGGGCTGCGCATGGAGCCTGACACGCTGTTCTGAGCGGCACGGTAAGGGGGCCAGGGGATCGGAGAAGGGGCAGGGAGGTTCTGGAGGGGGCAGTCCACAGACAGGGAGCAGGGGGAGGGTTGGATGGGTCGGGAGTTCAGGGGGGGACTGTCTGGGGGTTGGGAGTGTAAGGTTTTGGGCAGTCAGGGTACAGGTAGGGGGTAGGGTCCTTGGGGGGCAATTAGGGTGGAGGGGGTCTCAGGAGGGGGCAGTTAGGGGACAAGGAACAGGGAGGCTTAGGTAGGGGGTGGGGTTCTGGAGGGCAGTTAGGAGCAGGGGTCCCAGGAGGGGGCAGTCAAGGGACAGGGAGCAGAGGGGTTTAGATGGGTCGGGAGTTCTGGGGGGTGGGCTGTCAGGGAGTGGGGAGTGGTTGGATGGGGCATGAGAGTCCCTGGTGTCTGTTTGGGGGTGGGGGTGTGGATAAGGGTTGGGGCAGTCAGGGGACAGGTAGGGGATAGGGTCCCAGGGGGCTAGTTAGGATGGGGGGAAGGTCTCGGGAGGGGGCAGTCAAGGGACAAGGATCAGGGAGGCTTAGGTAGCGGGGGAATCCTGGGGGGGCAGTTAGGTAGGGTTACCATACGTCTGGTTTTTCCCGGACATGTCCGGCTTTTTGGTCCTCAAATCCCCATCCGGGGGGAATTGCCAAAAAGTCGAACATGTCCAGGAAAATAGCTTTGCCGTCATCCCTGCCCCAGTCCCCTGCTTACCTTGCGGCTCCCGCAGGCTGCGAGCTGCAGGTGGATTCCCCCGCAGCAGCTGCTGCTGCTCCCCGCAGACACCTCAGCTCTGTGTAGCTGAAGAACCGAGCTGCCCGAGCGCTACCAGCTTCACGGTTTGCCGGGCAGCCCCCAGACCTTCAGACCCTGCGCCCTTGGCCGGGCGCTTCCCCTCCCGGGCTCCGGCTGTGCTGGGAAAGCGCCCGGCTGGGGGCAGGGTCTGGAGGTCTGGGGGCTGCCCAGCAAACCGTGAAGCCGGTAGTGCTCGGCCAGCTGTTTCGAGGCTGGAGGGAGGAGGGAGAATGCGGGGCGCTCAGGGGAGGGGGCGGAGTTGGGGCGGGGACTTTGGGGAAGGGGCGGAGTTGGGCCAGGGCCAGGGGGCAGGGCCAGGGTCCCATGGAGTGTCCTCTTTTTTTAATGAGGAAATATGGTAACCCTAAATAGAATTATAGAATCATAAAATATTAGGGTTGGAAGAGACCTAAGGAGGTCATCTAGTCCAATCCAATGCTCAAAGCTGGACCAACACCAACTAAATCATCCCAGCCAGGGCTTTGTCAAGATGGGCCTTAAAAACCTCTAAGGATGGAGATTCCACCACTTCCCTAGGTAACCCATTCCAGTGCTTCACCACCCTCCTAGTGAAATAGTGTATCCTAATATCCAACCTAGACCTCCTCCCCTGCAACTTGAGACCATTGCTTCTTGTTCTGTCATCTGCCACCACTGAGAACCGTCTAACTCCATCCTCTTTGGAACCCCCCTTCAGATAGTTAAAGGCTGCTATCAAATCCCCCTGCTCCCCACTCGCCCTGCAGTCCCTGCACCCCCCCGCCTGCCCTGCAGTCCCTGCCCCTGCAGCCTCTATGCCCCTGCCTGCCCTGCTCCTCCTCACCCTGCACCCCCTGCCTGCCCTGCCCCTGCTGCCCCTGCACCCCCTGCCTGCCCCGCCCCAGCAGCCCCTATGCTCCTGCCTGCCCTGCTCC